TATAGTTAGGTCATGTAGAAAGAAAATTAGAAGGACAAAGGCACAATTTGAACTCAATCTTGCCACTTCTGTTAGGGATAACAAGAAGTGCTTCAACAAATACATCAATAACAAAAGGAGGGGCAAGGAAAACCTCCATTTTTTGTTGGACATAGGGGGGAAAATAGTCACCAAAGATGAGGAAAAGGCTGAGGTACTTAACACCTTCTTTGCCTCAGTTTTCAACAGTAAGACAGGTTGTCCTCAGGACTTCTGGCTTCCGGAGCTTGTAGACAGAGACAGGAAGCTGAGTAGTCCCCCTGTAATCCAAGAGGAAACAGTTGGTGACCTACTGAGCCACTTGGATCCTCACAAGTCTCACAATGGGACCAGATGGGATCCATCCTAGTGTGATGAGGGAGCTGGTGGAAGAGCTCACCAAGCCACTCTCATCATTTACCAACAGTCCTGGCTCACTGGGGAGGTCCCACATGATTGGAAGTTGGCAAATTGTCAAGCTGATCCACAAAAGGGGCTGCAAGGAGGACCTGGGAAACTACAGACCTGTCAGCCTGACCTCAGTGCCTGGCCAGGTTATGAAGCAGATCATCCTAAGTGCAATCACACAACAGCTACAGGATGGACAACAGATCAGACCCAGCCAGCACGGGTTTAGGAAGGGCAGGTCCTGTCTGATCAATCTGATCTCCTTTTATGATCAGGTGACCTGCCTGGTGGATGAGATCCGTGGATATGGTCTATCTGGACTTCAGCAAAGCCTTTGACACCATCTCCCACAGCATAGTCCGGAAAAAGCTGGCAGCCCACGGCTTGGACAGGGGCACTCTGCCGGGTTAGGAACTGGCTGGAGGGCCGGGCCCAGAGGGTGGTGGTGAACGGGGCTGCATCCAGTTGGCGGCCAGGCACTAGTGATGTCCCTCAGGGATCAATGTAGTGTACCATTAGCAAATTTGCAGATGACACCAAGTTGGGGGCTGTGTTGGTCTGCTGGAAGGCAGGAGGGCTCTGCAGAGGGACCTGGATAGGTTGGAGAGTTGGGCTGATTCCAACGGGATGAGGTTCAACAAGGCCAAGTGCCGGGTCCTGCACTTTGGCCACAACAACCCCATGCAGCGCTACAGGCTGGGGACAGAGTGGCCTGGATCAGGAACAGTGTTGCCAACAGGACCAGGGAAGTGATTCTGCCCCTGTACTCAGTGCTGGTGAGGCCACACCTGGAGTACTGTGTCCAGTTCTGGGCCCCTCAGTTCAGGAAGGATATTGAGGTGCTGGAGCAGGTCCAGAGAAGAGCAACTAGGCTGGTGAAGGGACTTGAGCACAAGTCCTATGAGGAGAGCCAGGTGGGGGTCAGTCTCTTCTCCCGGGCAACCAGCAGTAAGACAAGAGGGCACAGTCTTAAGCTGTGCCAGGGGAGGTTTAGGTTGGATATTAGGAATAAATTTTTTATGGAGAAGAGTAATCAGACATTGGAATGGGCTGCCCAGGGATTCACCATCCCTGGCGGTTTTTAAGATGAGTCTGGATGTGGCACTTAGTGCCATGGTCTAGTAACCACAGTGGTGTTGGATCAAGGGTTGGACTTGGTGATCTCAGAGGTCTTTTCCAACCTGGTTGATTCTATTTATCTGTATTGTTGCTTAAATGTATTTTTCATTAGTTAATATTGGTGAAATAATCAGTGCGATTGTTTCTGCTTACAGTTTCAGTTTTAGTGAATAAACTACTTGTTTAACTTGTGCAAACATGTTGAAGGTATTGAATTTTAAGGCAAAAACACTGTCTGGAAAGGGAACACTGGCAAAGTCATTCAAAAGGGAAAAGAAGAATAATTTATAAAAGGAACTGTAGCTAATGATGCCATCCACTTGCTTTAAAGTTCTTCTACCTCACCTTTAATGAATTAGATTTGTCAACAGCATATATTTTATGCACTACTTCTAATGAAGTGGCATACCAGCACTGCAGCGTACTTTGAGGATTATTCCATCAAAGCTTTTTGCTGTCGTAAAGTAGACCTTTCTAAATAATAGATACTAAAAACTACATTTAAATAGCATTAAGGTTGTGACACAAACACCAAATGACAAACTTCAGGCAATTCAAAGTTAGGGATGACAACTTGTCATTACCTTGCACTGTCATTTCTTAAAAAATAAGCACAATTGCATGATTTAAGGATTTAATGTCAGACTAACTTGAAATTTCTTGCCTTTTGTGGGCTGGAGTTACAACCTTTCTGTCATTTTTTATACAGGTTTTTTTTGTATTCTGTTTTCAGAAAAATAATAAAAACAGTGGAAATAATACGGGCTTTATTGGCTTTGTGTTTAATTTTAAACACAGATGAGAGAGTATTGGTTAAAGAGCAGGGGTTATCTTGTTACCAAACTTACATGCATAAGTATGTACATGTTCTTTTAAACTTCCTTTGCTTTCTTCTTTGCTGATACTTCTATGGAACTTATGAGTTACAGGAACCTTAGTCCTGGGTTACTTTAGCTAAACCCCCAGAAAGTACTAAGAGTTCCCAATTCTTTTCCATGTAAATAACCACTTTCTTTTTAGTGGCCAGTACTGAATAAACCAAGAGTATGTAGAGTATGTAGAAAGACTTGTTAAAGGAATTTTAATTACTTAAAATAATGTGAAATAAAAGCAGGTAAACAGTTTCTGTTATTTTTTACATATGATTTCTCGTTTTGTTGCTGTTAAACGTAATGGAACTTTCTGTTCAGGTAAGTTAGCATGTGCGTGTAAACACAGTCCTCTCAGTCCCTCTGTAGAGATGATTTCTCAAGGTCTGTAAGTCTAGTGAAGGCAATCCATTATTTTCATCATGGTTTTGTCAACTTCATCTGGCATAGACTGGCACTGCTGCCAAGTGGTCAGGCCTGCACCAGTCACTCACTTCAGTCACCTGCCCCATGCCACCATCAGTGCTTATTCAGCTGCCTGGTAAATAGAGATAAATAGTCTTGCACTGGCCAAGTGGCTACTACAGAAGGTTGGTAGGATCCTGTGGAAAAAGGGTCAGAAAATGTGGCCTCTCTTTCAAGTAGTCTGAATCTCTTTTCTAAGTACAGTCAATCAATTTCTCTTAATTTCTTTTTATTGTGTTGCCATGAATGCATAATAGCACAAAACCCTAACTTTAATAAAAATTTGTGATTATTTAAAAAAGAATTGGTTTAGCAAGCTGTATCATCCACTGGTACAGATAAAGAAGTGGATTGTTTGAAATAAGAATAGTAGTCTCCATAATGTTTTTAATTCTTAAGATGCCATTTGACTGGGAACATGTAAATTATGCCAGGTAATGCAGATATAGGGAGTAATGAGGAATACAGTTCGCTTTGTTCTTTTCCTGTAATAAACTTATCTCTGGTGCACACTGTGATGGAGAAAGAAAGTGGAAAAATCATTCCAGTCTGCCTTGCTACTAAAAATCAAAGGATTCGTTCAATGCCATTACATGATACCCACTTGCAAAGCTATTGACTTTTGATTCACTTATTTGGAACAAACTTAAAGTTTCTGAATAATTTTTAGCTCCAAAGATTAGCATAAGAGTGTTGTGATATTACTGCTTACCTAGAAAAAATATGTTGTTTCAATAAATGCTTCACCCCTTTTGTATCTTTGAACACTTTCTTCCTTATTCAGAATATGTGCCTTTAACTACTTTTCTAATTGTAGTTTTGTTTGTGCTTGTAACATCCTCAAAACTGTTTCACAGAGGTGTACAAGTGAAAGGAATCTTGACTCAAGAATCTTGTTGGCTGGGTCACAAAAAACACAATTTATCTTACAGATTAATAGAATAGAGTTGAAACTCTAAGGTTCACTGTTGGGCTCTTATATAAAAATAATTTGCTTCTGAAGGATATTCATGCTTCTGAAGGATATTTTGCTAGAGTTATTACTATACTCGGTTCTAGGCAGTTAAACCAAAAAATATATAGATTAAAACTTAAAAATTTGATTGTAATATAAATTTCCAACTTGAATATTACATGGCTTATTGTTTTTTTATTTTTTAAGAACAGTTGTAAAATTCTTTAAAATTAATGTAAGGGAAAAGAAATTTGCTAAAATATTAATATGACCCTAGGAAAAAAATTTTACTCCTTTAGTTTGTGATGTTCCCCTCTCTTTCTAGAAACTTGAAATGTAGTCTTCCTTCAAAACAACCAAAAATTGATCTTTAGTTTTCAACCAGGTTTTGTTCTGAAGTAATAGGCAAGTAGTGCACATTGTTTACACTGTAGTTTCACTTTGTGGCTGGTTGCACAACTCATTTAAGTCTTGTAATTATGTAAGAAATAATACAGTGCATGATGTTCACTTATAAGATATTTATGAACACTTGCTCTCTTAATCATGAAACCAAAGGCTTAAGCGCTTTCTGCACCAGAGAATTTAATATAAATTTTACAGCAGTCGTTTAAGGTAGGCAGGAGGAACCCCTTTCTGCATCACAAATCAGCTGATTGTCTTTCCTTCTTGCACAGTAATTTATGACCTGGTCTTGTTCCAAAGAATGATTTCTTTTCCCCTGTGTGAATGCATTAAGTAATGATTCATTCTCTCACCTTTTTACACTCTTGCCTTTATCATGTTTTGAAATAGTATTCTTGATACAGCATCTTCCCAGAAGAGATAGCTGAATGTATTAAAGCTGAGTATTCTTGCATAGTACCCACATGGCATTTCCATGGCATACATAGATCAATAGTGTAGAGGTAAACGAACTTAGCCGTGAATACAGGATGTTTCTTTTGTGAGCTGACGCTGCAGGACTCTTAGTTGCCCTGTGATAAAGCTGGAGTGTGAAAGTATAGTTTAAGATGTCTTTGAGAAGAAGGAAATTCCTTTCACAGTAACTATTCCTTTATTTTCCTTTCTTTCTTCTTGAACAGCAATGGAAAGATATTGTGGATAAGTATTCTTTAAAATTGCTTCTTGGTTATGCTTTTTTTTTTTTTTTTTTACTTTTGTAGCATTGTAGTTGAGATGACTTGCACTTCCTGCCAAGAAATAAAGATATAAAATCTTAAAAGTTATCAGGTAAGACAAAACTGGATAAAAATATAGAGAGGGTGCTCTGGGAATATAAAGGCTACCTCTGAGAAACTAGATAAAAAAATCATTTATATATGAATTGTGAATTAGTAAGAAGGTCCTGTCTTAAGATTTATTTTTTTTGTCTTCCATGATAGTTACAGAACTTCAAGCCAGTTAGACACAAGATTTAGTTTTGCACAGTTATTTTGGTTACCATTAACTAGATGTGGTGCAGACCTACTTTCATATCAATCAGTATATTTGTACTTTAATATACTGTTCTACAGATGCCTTTCCTATCTCCTATTTCTGTTCTGTTTGGTAGTGCTTAAACCTGAAATGATATATAACCTGTGCTTTTTTAATGCATAAAGCTAGCTCGTAGCAGTTATGAGTTCTGCTCTGAATACAAACTGTTAGTTAACTAGAAGTCAAGACATAGTCAAGACTAAGCACTGCACCTAAAGAGGCTTAAATCAATGTCCTTTTGATTAAAACTGACAATACCATTGGTCTGTGTGTTACTTATATTTTTTTTTCTCCTTTAAGTGATATTTGATCAGATACTTTTTTTTAGAATAAAAGAACATACAGATCTGATCTGATGCAGACCTGTGGTAGAATCAATATTCTGCTGAGTATCAAGATTGTTCTTTGACTAGCCATACTAAAGGAGAAGAGTACGGTAAGCTCTTAAAACTCTTACTCTTCACTAGGAAGGAAAAAAGAAATAAAAGGCAAGCAGGAGGATGTCTGACCATGAAGATGAGTGAGTGATCATGAAGAGCCAGTTGTCAGCCCAAACTGTTAAAAGAGCACTAAAAGGCTGCTGTATTAGTAAAAAGTATAATTCTCTTGCTGTGGAACTCTAAACACTATCTATGCATATACCTCTGCATTTTGTTGTGATTTTATAGATTCATCAAAGGTTGTTTTGGTATATGCTGACTAGTTACCAAAGAATCTTTTGAACTGGCGTTGGTTAGTCTTGAATTAGGCCCATGCATGAGACAGTAATTTGAGGTATTTAAACAAATGTTTCCCGTGAGGCTTCTGATGGGAAGCAATTGTGATCTTCTACAAGCAATTTTTTTTTTACTTGAAACTGCTGGCTTCTTTAAACATGGCAGTTGTTGGTGAGCTAATCCTGTGAGTCAATCTACACTAAACAAGAAGCTTATCTCAAACCCTTGGCAGCTTCAGTGAAAATTCGAAAGGATGCTTTACAGTAGAGATTGTCAAGAGTGGAACTAATATTTGTCCAGTTGGACAGCTTGCTTTTGTAGTCACTAAATGAAAGTTGAGATTCTGTCTCTTCCTTGAAAGCATCTGTGTCAAGAAAATAATTTGGACTGTTTGTGGTTTGACAGGGATTATTAAAATCAGATGAAGTGAAGGGAAGGAAGTGTAAGAAAGCAAAATTGACAGTGACACTCTCTATTACTTGCAGCTTGGATCATGATGACTATGTTGATATGATAGGTTCTAAATGTTAGGTTCACTGTGGGGATGTGTTAAGCAGCAAATACAGTAAAGTGCAGTTATAGATGATTTTTCTGACTTAACAGAAAGCCATCTGGCATTTATTTTCATTGGGAAATTTGGGAGGAGAAGTGTAGAAGAAAATGAAATATTAGAGGGGGCAAACCAAAGGAAAAAGGGAGTGGTTCAGAAAGAATTTAATTTTCTCCTTTGTGGTTTGATTTGTCTCTCTTTTTTTTTTTTTTTTTTAGTTCATACAGCTTGCTAGTGTACTTCAGAGAGAATAAAACTGAGGATTAAGAACTGATGGAACAGGTCATAAAATTTCTTTTTGCATTGACTTGAATTTGGTAGGAATTTTTTAGCATTAATAGTTTTGCTTAAAGTGAGCTGAAGTCTTAGATTGCTGTTTCACATCAATTTTTCATGACTTGCATCTTGCATGCTATTTTTAAATAGTGATCTTCTCTGCCACTTCAAGATAAATAATTTAAAATCTCAAATTATTGCAATATTCATATAGCTGAATTTTTAATTGCTGAAGATACATTAACTGCCAACTGTATGCATCTTTTGGTGTCTAATGAATATACAATGTATTATTTAATTTTAGTGCTTTGTTTAATCTCTTAGTTGTATAGGTAAACTTTCAATTCTGAATAGGCAGGTTAGTGCAGAAGTAAGACATCTGATTAGTGAAGTTTGAAGAGTGCTGTCATTTCTGTGTGGTTTCCTTTTCTGTTTTCCAATATGGAAACTTTGCAAAAAATTGTATTTTGCGACAGTTTTTAGTGTAGAGTAGATTTTTAGTGTAGTGTAGATTTTATAGGAAATTAGGGAACTCAAAGGAAAAGAGGTGACACATGAAAGCCTTTGCTGTTATTTAGCATAGCCATAACTTCATATCTTTCAAACAATGTCATGCGACATTTGAACAGTTAAGCCATGCCAGCATCTCATCTTCACCTATATTCACATAAGAGAGAAGCATATTAGCATCCATAGTGATTCATCTAGCAGAACAAAAGGATTATGGGGAGCAGAGTGACTGAGAGAAAAGAGGTTACATAGAGTTGCACACTTGCAAAATAAAGGCTGTCATGAGAAGAGATGGTGGTACTGAAAACACAGTGGGGACAGTGGTAAAGGAGGTGCTCTGGTAGCAGAGCACACAGAACTTGAGATGTGACAGGAGGGTGCCGGACTGTGATGTGGGCTGGATGGGGAAATGGGAAACACAGACAACCACGCTAAAATAAGAGAGGATTGAAAATGTTTGTAAGGGACGATCTCAGAGAGAGGTACATATCATCTCTATACTTTCTTCACATTTACTTCTGTATCCATGTCACCACATGTTAACCTACCTGCTTGATCTAGGAAACCCAGCAGGTATAATCTTTTTGGACTTCAGCAAAGCTTTTCATACTGTCTCTCACAGTATCCTTCTGGGCAAAATGTCCGGTATACAACTGGATAACTGTGTTATGCAGTGGGTGAGCAACTGGCTCACAGATTGGTCACAAAGAGTTACGGTGACATCAGGCTGGCAAACGGTTGCTAGTGGGGTTCCACAGGGCTCCCTTAGGCCCTGTCTTCTTCAACATCTTTTAATTAATGACTTGAACGCAAAATTCAAAGGAATACGAAGGAAATTTGCCGATGACACTAAACTGGGAGGAGCTGTGGACTCTGTTGTGGACAGAGAGGACCTGCAGAGAGACCTTGACAAATTAGAGAGATGGGCAATCACCAACCATATGCGCCTGGGATGGGGAAACCTTGGATATGCGTACATAGTGGGAAGTGAGAGGCTGGAGAGCAGCCCCATAGAAAGGGACCTGGGGGCCCTGGCAAGTTAAATATGAGTCAGCAGTGCCCCGGCAGCCAGAAGGGCCAACCGTGTCCTGGGGGGCATCAGGCACAGCATCACCAGCCAGTCAAGGGAGGGGATTGTCCCGCACTACTCTGCACTGGTGCAGCCTCGCCTTGAATATTGTGGCAGTTTTGGGCACCACGATAAAAGAAAGACATAAAGCTATTAGAGAGTGTCCAGAGGAGGGCTACAAAGATGGTAGAGGGTCAGGAGGGGAAGCCGTCTGAGGAACAGCTGAGGTCACTTGGTCTGTTCAACCTGGAAGAGACTGAGGGAAGACCTCATGGTTTTCTACAACTTCTTCACAAGGGGAAATGAAGGGACAGGCACTGGTCTCTTCTCTCTGGAGACCAGAGAAAGGACTCAAGGAAATGGCATGAAGTGGAGGTTTAGTTGTTTAGTTTAGATACCAGGAAAAAGCTAGAAGGTGGTTTAGCACTGGAACAAACTCTCTGGGGAAGGGGTCACAGCAGCAAGCCTGACAGAGTTCCAAAAGTGTTTGGGCAATGCCCTCAGGCACATGGTGTGATTCTTGCAGTGTCCTGTGCAGGACAGGAGTTGGACTCGATGGTCCTGATGCGTCCCCTCAGAATATTTATGATTCTATGATTCAGTGGTGGTATTCTTTAGATGCTTTGTGTTCACAAGTACTTTGAAGTGCATAAATAAACAATTATCCCAAATTATAGTATTCTTAAGTAGAAGAGCATTTAAAATTCAGCTTACAGTTGGTATTAACTTACTCTAGGCTAATTAGGGTTATGGGAGAGATGCTTTTCCTGAATATGCAGATTTTACCATGTTACTCAGCCAAATGCCTCTAATTTTGAAAATATCCCTATTCTTTTGGAATCCATCTCTTGTTTCCTGTTGTCTAGTATACATCAAAGGGGAGATTAGTTGAATCAAGCTATATTTTCTACTGTCTATTGTCTGTGGAATGAGTCTTACGGGCAAGGAGAGGGAAATAATAAACTCAAAAACTACCATTTCAGTATTTGCAGTGTTTTCAAGTATAAAAAGTAAGATAATTGTTTAGAGGTTCAGAACACACCAGATCAGAGGAGATGCTCCTGGCAACAGTGAATATGAATTATTTTGTAAGCTTCCAGAGTTAATGTCAGATTCCTCATTGCTTGTCCATGTTAGCATGTAATAGTTGTACTGTTTTATTTGTAACATAAACAATGGAAATGCATTTCACAATTCATACAATGTAGTATTTTTACTGCAAGTGTAATACACATTTACATTTTGGCATAAGGTAGTCTGTGAAGATGTAATTTAATATTTCAGTTCCTACTGAGATGTGTAATTCAGCTTTCATTCCTTTCCTTGTATAATTAATTTTTAGAGCAGAGCTTTCAGTTGTGGCAAAGGTGTGTTTTTATAATTTTTTCTTTAAAGAATTTAATGTACACCAGTATTTGTAATTAGCAGAAGTTCTCTTCCCAGTTCTTCCTCCCTGCAAAGATTAATTCATTCAAATGTAAGGGAAAGGGCTTGGAATCTTTTACGGAGAAATAGAGATGAGGATACCAAAGGCTTTTGGTGGGCCTCCACAGAGGCCATGGTCAGCAGAATCTACTCCACACAGTGATTAAACACTTGTGGATTTCTAAGGGATACTCTCCCCTTTACATTTCTGCCAGTGTTTTGTGTAAAGGGATGATTTGTTTTGGTAGTATGTAGTGGCTTTTGTTCCTAGAACCACTAGAGTTAGAAACTAGTGCTATATTTTGGTAAAATATTAGTCTCCTGCCTTTTTCTAATACTAGCTCTTAATAGCTTGTTGGAATAGTAAAATAATGTAAGCAGAAGAAAAATTGTAAAGTGAGGACATTATACTAAATAAGCATTTTCAGTAGTTTTAAAACTTCTTGGTAGGATGTCAAAGTGAAGTAAATTTCCACATTTCAGAAGTCAAGTAAGTGAAATGAAGTTGAATAAAAAGTACATGAAAAACAAAAGCATTTTGTATTTTTCTCTATTAAATGTTACTCTCCCATCATAATTATTTTTATACCATAGAGGATCATCGTCTTATTTATCTAGCAGAGACTCCTGTATCTGTTACGAGGGTTTTGAGAAAATACTGAGATCTCTTAGTAGTTTTGAACTGAGAATTTGTTAACACTGAGAAGCTCTTGAAATTAATACTTGAAGAAAGGGATTCTGTTACTAAATTATGTTCGTCTTCAGTAGCACAAATAACATCCAGATTCACTAGTTATATCTTTTTAACAAGTTAAATGAGAGAGAATTAGAGTTATTTTCTGGCACCTATTCTGGTATCCATTATAATGATGCAAGCCTGATGACTTACTTGCATATTAAGAAGGGGTCTGAAGTTGCAGCCTGGAACTATGGATGATTGAAGTTATATCTGAGAAATAAATGACAAAAAATTTAGTCAAGATCAACAGTAGAATTCGTGAGAAAAGACGATGAATATGTCGTATTGAGAAATACGGTTACTTCAAATGAGGTTGTGCCCATCAGTCAAGGTGAGGCGCAGCAGTTCATGTGACAGTTCACGTAAGCAGGGCATGTAAGAAGGCACAGTCACCCTCCCAGCTCCTGAGGCAAGCTCCCCTAGTGGTTTTTGCTTACCTAGCTAGAGCAGGCCCAAAACTGGATTCCACGTAGTTGAAAGCTGTTGCTAGAAGGAGAGTGGTGACCTCAGAAGCATGCAGCTGTCCAGGTCTCCAGCTGCAGGGAGTGTTTGAGCCTGGCTTGTTTGTCTGTGACCAAGTGGATGGTCTGCTCAGCCTACTGGCAGAGCTTGAAGAGAAAGTGGAGAGGATGAGGAGTATCAGGGAGCGTGGGAGAGAAATATGCTGGTGGAGTCACATGCTTCCATCCCTGAGAGAAATGCTGCAGGTGGAAGCTTGGCAAGAGTCAGAGGAAACCCGGTGCTCTCTCCATCAGGCAGAAGGAGGAGAATGGAAGCAGGTCCCTAATGAGGTCAGCAGGATAATCTGCTCCCAGCCTCACTTGCCTTTCCAAGTTGCACTTATGGAGTAGATATGAGGCTCTGAAACTTGGGAGTTGGGCAAATGATAGTGAAGGTGAAGGTCTAGAAGGTCTACCCTGGCGGTTGCCCAGAGCAAGTCAGTCAACCAGATGCATTACAACTACACCTGTTAAGAAGGAAAGAAGGGTAGTTGTTGTAGGTGACTCCCTTTTGAGAGGAACTGAGGGCCTATGTGCTGACTGGACCCATCCCACAGGGAATTTTGCAGCCTTCCTGGGGTTTGGGTAAGAAATATTACTGGAAGACTCCCAGGACATATTCAGCCCTCTGATTATTACCCACTTTGGGTTGTCCAGGTCAGCAGGAAGAGATTGAGAAGTCCTAGGACAATTAAAAGGACTTTAGGACACTGGTGACTGGTTGAAGAGACAGGAGCTCAGGTGGTGTTTTCCTCAATCCTTT